AAATTAAAAAAAAAAAAAAAAAAAAACGAAAATCCGGAAAAATTCTACTTGCATATGCGGATTGATTATATTAGAATTTATGCGTAATATTAAAAAAGGAATCTTGTACCGAGAGCTCAAGGTTAAAAAAAAAAGTTGCTCGTTCCTCCCACATCTTTGCTATATTAATTTATTAAATAAATTTTATTTGATTTATGTTTATGATAAATTATTGAAAATCAAAAATACAAGTCAAATAATTATGTTATACTTGATCGAATTGATCTTGAGTTTATTGAGTTAATGAAGTCAACAGAAAACTTGAAGACTACAGCCAAAAAATAAATAATAACATAGTCCAGGAATCTCGATTTCCCGTTAGGTTAATTTGGCCATGTCTGTTATACTTTCACTAAGTGTTAATATACTTAATGTATCTACACAAAGAGAAAAATACAAACAGCTGATTGAGAATCGTATCTTAATGATAAGGAGAACAATACTATGTTGAAATCAGAAGACTAGAAAAAGGAAAAGGAAAATCTTGTAACTACTTGTGTCGATACAATAAAATACATTCGAAAATGTTGTACCTTTGTTAAATATGAGTATTCCAGGTTATAAGTATCAGTTCAGGACAAAATAACTTTTTTTAAATGTATGACAATTTTTAATTGAGTGACCCATATGGTTAAATTTTGAATTGCATATTCTAAGGATTTCACGCTAACATGTCTGTGAGTGCACATTATATTTAATTCCTTTCAAAAAGGTTAATTTACTATCTCATTAATGTTTAATTAAAATAAAATTAGGTCGAAATTAATGGTGAAAATGTTATCAACAACGGACAATCCAAAGTCCAGGTAAATCATATAATTATAATCTGACATCTGATTATTGAATAGTTCATGATATCAATCACTTATTCATCAAATAAAAATATTTCTTAAAGAAACAATAATTTGTTATTATGACAATGAAATTAAGATTGACTTTTTAATTGTTTTTATATTTTAATCTGCCAATTTTATAAAATATGAAGTGAATAAAAAATTAGTCTGAATTTGTGATAATTATTGATTAATATGCATATTAAACTTATTTGGACACTTTATTTATATATAATACTTGATAACATTATATTGTTTATTTTAATTTATCTGAATTAACTTCCCTAACCAATTAATAAGGTTTTCATAATTCCCAAAACATATTTAAACCTATAATTCTGAATGCTTTTTGTAGAATTCATTTAATTATTAATTGTAAATATATCTAATTTATTATAAATTAATTTGAGTTTAAGCATTTCTTTTAAATTGACTCTACTTAAAGAATACTTATAGTCATTTTTAAATTAATTTCTTGAATCAATACATTTCTATTGATAGATATAAATTAAGCAGTAAGTAATGTTATTAATGTTTGTTAATTGAAACTAAATTTCATGTTTTAAAAAATAAGAATTTTGCACGGAGCAATGGCTTCTAGTAAAATTCTTCTATTAATAATTTTTGAACATAACATTTAAAAAAAAAAAATATTTATTTTAATTATTTTAAATTTTATATCATATAATAGTTTAAATAAAATTGAATATTAAAAATATTTAATGTCTTCTCTGATATTTTAAAGTTTTTTTTTATTTAAAAAATAATTCTAAGCAGTCTGAGTATAGTGCCATGAGCTGAAATTCTTAGTGAAATATTTGTTGACATAAATTTATCCTTGTATTAAATGACCATGAAATACAAACGTTTATATGTTTGTTTTATAATAGCTTGCGTCATATTTTATCAAATCTTATAAATTAGAATGAATTTGTACATAATAAAAATATGATACCACAAATGAGAGATAAAAGCTGCTACATATTTTAAATAATACTTAATTCACATATTTATCATTCAAGTGTGAACACTGCTGAACAAATTTTATTATTAATCTAAACTGGAAATATTAATAAAATATTATATTATACTAAGTATGTTTGTTATGAAATTTAATAAATACTAAATTATTTAATATATAAATGTATTTATATTAGAAATTGATGGTAGTTTTATTATTTTAATTTTACCATGATATGTTTTTTTAAATTAAAATGAACTATTGAAATTAATAAAAATCAAAGCATATTTTATTTGACTACTACAATTTTATACATTAAATATATTAAAATTTAATTTTGTATTCTTTGAAAGCTTATTAAGGTTTTTATAAACATTTTTGCTATAATATCAAAGAGTATAATACTGCAAGATGTATGATAGTAAATTTAGTTTTCTTTAAATTTGCAAAAATTATTGAACTGTGTATTATTATATTTTAGAGCGATCAAAACACAATGACTATTCAAACACCTAGAGTTAATGAAGATAAACCTCTTTTAACTGGCACAACTACAATGTATAATAATGGGTGAGTTCCAAATGTAGTCCATATTTTACATAAATATTTTTCAAACTATTTTAGTTCTACAATTGTATGATAATAGTTTTTCCAATTCATAGTTTTATTATTAAATCTAATAAAACATTCTTAATGATTATGATATCAAATTTAAATTATAAAAAATTTATATAATTTTTCTAACAATGAAACTAATAAAAACTTAAATCTGTTAATATATATATATATATATACACATATTACTTTTAAAATTAAATCATTTTAATGGTGATATGGACTATTTTATTTAGAAACACCTGTCTTTCCCCACAATCAAAACAGTTGCCTGAAAAAGATATTTCAATTAATTCAACTAATGTTATCAAAACAAAAGATGGTATAATAATTTCATCTGATTGTAACCCATTATTAAATCGTCAAATTGAAAATCCAACATCGTAAGTAATATATTTTTATTGTTATTATTTCTAAAGACTGTTATATGTATTTTGATGCTTAAATATCATTTTAATACATCTTAATATTATATATTAAAACAAATCTACACAAATTACACATTATAAAACTTTTTAACTATTACAATGTTGCCTTTAATTTAAATATTAAATGTTTGTCTTCTAATTAGTGTTATTGGCTAACAATTGAAATTACTTAGTTAATCTGAACTATTTTATAAATTGCATGATAATTTATTAAATGTAATCACGTGAACAATTTCACGTGTTTGTTAGAATTTTAACTGTTAATTTATCAGTATATTTAAATTGTTTATAGGTTTGATAATATTCTATGTTAATATGATCACATGAAGTTCAGAGGTTAATGAATCATGGAATGTTAAATATTTATTTATTATTATTATTTTTTTTTTTTAAGACATTTTATTAATCTGTATATTTTATTTTATCATGTAATTTTTTTCTTAATTGTTTTTTTTTAGCTATGGTGTTTAACTTTGTATTACATGGTTCTTTTTATAATAAGTAAGACTACATTCAAAAGATTTCAAAAAGTCTCGTCCTTTTTTTTAAAACTACTTTTAGAAAAAACCTCTTGTATAAATGTTTTTCTCTTTTTTACTAGTTTATTTGATGCTAAAATAGTGTCATAATAATAAATAAAATATATTATTATTTCTCTACTAGAATAAAAGTACTGATATAATTTGATTATATATTGTTTTAATACTTAAGGAACAGTATTTTATGTAAATATTATAAATTCCTTTTTCAAAATTTATTTGTACTTAAATTATAAACTACTTTTAACCTGCTCTAATAAAATATGTTTCAACTGTTTAGTGTTTCATTATATACAAATTCATACTTAAAATTCATACTCTCTGTCTTCATATGTTTCCTTGTTAAAGTATCTTGAGGTCAATTATTTTTAGTCTATTTCATATTTAGATTCTAAACATCTTATAGTAGTACTATAATATATGATACATTTAAATTGTATTTTTTAGGAATTTAGATACAATGATACATTTATTAAAAGGAAATATTGGAACAGGGATTTTAGCCATGCCTGATGCATTTAGGAATTCTGGTTGGTTTGTGGGCTTAATTTGTACAGCTTTATTAGGTGCTATTTGTACACATTGTATGCATGTCTTGGTAAGATTATATTTTAAATTTTGTATATGACATCTATGGTATAGATTTTAAAAGACCTATCATAAAAAATTAAACAAAACAATTGTTATCTAATAATAGTTATTTATTAACATGAATATTGACTGTACATTTTTAATTAATTTTAGGTAAGATGTTCTCATGAACTTTGCATTAGAACTCAAACACCTTCTTTGTCATTTCCTGATGTTGCAGAATATGCATTTGAATGTGGACCAATTAAAACTCAAAAGTTTTCACGTTTGGCAGGCAAATTAGTTAATATTTTTTTAGTATTAACACAATTAGGATTTTGCTGTGTATACTTTTTGTTCGTAGCCACAAATCTTCAAGAGGTAAAATTAAATTTTAATTTTTTAGAAATAAATAATATAATTTCATTTTATATATAAAAAAAATATATGGTTTAGTCAATATTATATATCTATATATAAATTTATTTAAAATATTTAAAACTATTTAGTGAAATAATAAATACATAAACTAGTATGTTGATTATGAAAACTATTGAATTTCATTAAAATATTTTTATTAAAGTTAAAAAAAACTTCTTAATGTAATAATCTTTAAAATCAATACTTAAAAATTGTTTCTTAGGATTAGCTGAATTTTATTATTTTTATATTCTCTTTAAATGTATTTTTAGGTAATTGGTCATTACTTCTTTTACATGTCCGTGCAGTCCTATTTAGTGTTGCTTTTGGTGCCCATGGTACTTTTAAATTGTGTTAAAAGTCTCAAATATTTGACTCCTGCATCTCTCTTAGCTACAGTTCTTACAATAGTTGGATTAGGAATTACATTTTTCTATCTACTTCAAGGTTTACCTAAGACAACAAGTGTTAAAGCATTTTCTTCTTGGAAACAGTTACCATTATTTTTTGGTACAGCTGTTTATGCTTTTGAAGGGATTGGAATGGTATAATGATAAAAATATTTTTGTATTATACAGTAATCAAAATTAATGACATTTAAATATTGTAATTTTAATAAAATATAGATTTTACCACTAGAAAATAATATGTTGAATCCTGAAGCATTTGGTGGATGGACAGGTGTATTAAATACAGCTATGGTTATTGTAACTTGTCTTTATACGTCTATTGGTTTTTTTGGCTATCTACGTTATGGAGATGCTGTAAAATCTGGAAGTATTACATTAAATCTTCCTGGGCAAGATATGTAAGTGTCCTCTTATTATAATACATGATTTATTTCATGTATCACTCATTAATATCATCAGCTACATGGAAGAATATTATAAGTCATTTTATACCAATTTTACAATAGAAGAAAAAAATGTTCAGTCTTGCATTTGTCATTCTAAAACGACTTTTAGTTTTGGGCATTTACATGAAATTTTACTCTTTCAATACTCATATGTGTAAAAAGTAATATGTACACATTTTTCTAAAAAAATATGACTTACGAGATTTTACCAAGTAGCAGACTATATAAAAAGTTGGATAAAATAAATAATAATATAAATACTTTTTTATATAAAAAAACTTTTGATTCAATAATCATTTTTTAGTCATTTTTTTTTAAACAAATTTTGCATTCTTAGACTATGCTAAAAACATATTTTTTATTATTTATTTTGAATAACAAAAAAAAATATTTAAATTATTATTTTTATTTTTTCAAAATTTCATAATATTTATTTTAAGTTATATAAAAATACTATTTTTTTTAAGTCACTATGGCTAAGTATTCAATTTGAAGTATTATCTCTTTAAACTTGAAACAGATTATTACATTATTGAAATCATACTTTTTTTTTATGTTTGTTTTAATATCAATAACATTATCTGATGCTCATATTAAACAGTGTTATAAAAAAAATTAAATTATCATTACTTTATCATTATATCATACACACACAAATGTAGTTCACTGAACTCACCTAGTTACAAAAGCAAAGGAAAATAAATATTTGCTATGTTCCTTTCATATTGAAAAATAAAAACAATGTTTTATCTAATAAGAGAAAAATTCTATTTACTAAAAAAATTAAGAACAATGTTGTAAAATTTATCATTAAATTAGATATCATTTTTTTATTTATCATAACAATAAAGATTATCATAAATTATTTGTTATTATTGATCTAAAATATCTCATAATTTACAGTTTAACTATTAATTCATTATTTTATTTAAAAAATAATATTAATATATACATTTTTTTAAGTTTTTTAAATTATCATTTGAATATGATGTATATATTGTGTCCATTGTTTAGTAATCAAACTAATTTTTTAATATATTTTTAGTTTAGCTCAGAGTGTTAGAGCAGCAATGGCTCTTGCAATATTTTTGTCTTATGGTCTTCAATTCTATGTTCCTATTGGAATAATTTGGCCTGCTGTTAAAGGATATTTTCATACTCAAGCTAGTCAACGTAATGCTGAACTTTGTGTACGAGTTTTTCTTGTAACACTCACATGTAAATAATTAAAACATTTTAAGGTTTTAATCAATTTTTCAGTAATTAATATTGTACATGTTTTACAGTTGCATTGGCAGCTGCTATCCCAAATTTGTCTGCAGTAATATCTCTTGTTGGATCATTCAGTAGTTCAGCTCTAGCATTAATATTTCCGCCAATTATTGAACTAATGACATTTTGGGAACAGAGTTCTGGAAAAGAATTTGCGATTATGTTTATTAAAGATATAAGTATTATTTTAATTGGTTTTATTGGATTTGGTTTTGGGTCCTATGCTAGTTTATGTAACATATTTCAGCCTGTAAATGCTTAATTTTAGACTGGTTTGTATAAACTACTCTTATTAGTATTTAACTTTTGATCTTTAATATCAATTTGTCTTCCTATGTCAGTCAATAATTTTTAGTTGTGTAATTATTCATTATAACTATCAACTAATTAACTATTCATTATACTTATTGTATAATATGGTGGTTTTGTTAATTTTTGTTATTTTTATTAAAAAGATTTATTAATATTTAATAAATATACCATAAAGATTAAAAATGCTAGATTACACATTATTACACTGTGTATAGTGAGATTTTTAAATAATTAATTTATGTAACCATTAAGTATTTCTTAGATGGAAGTCTTTCACTCTACATTAAAGTAAATTTTAACAAATAATTATTATTTAAAATTATTGTTATAATTTTCCTTGTTATGTTACATTGATATACTTTGACAGTTGTAAATGTATGTTTTTTTATTGATAATTGATCCTCTGGGTTAAATTCAATTATTTTACATTTTATCATAAAATTTAACTTGTACAGCTATGTTTCTAAAGTAATTTACTGCTGTTTTTGATTTAAAAATTTTTATAAATTAACTAAAATTTGTCTGTTTTTTAGTGGATATATAATTTCTTATCTTTAAAATTATGTTTACTATAAATTCCTTTAAAATGAGGAACAAATTAGTAATAATTGCTGATTGGCTTTATGAAAATATTTAACATTCCTTTTTTGATATAAAATTTTATGTTAGGTTTCAAAACTAGAGAATAATTTTTTTTACAATAAAATTGAGTTTTGGTGGTGTTTAGGTTCATCGAAAATTTATATATCTACAAAATATCACATTAAACTATGAACCCATTTTTCAAATTTACAAATTTATTATCTTAGATATTAAATATCTCAGTAAATGTATACATGCATTTATTTAAAACATACGAATATTTTAATGTGCTTTTCATATTATTAATTAATATTAATAAATATTAATAATTGATAAATTTAAATTAAATTAGTTCAAAATACAATTTGTAATTGTATAAATTATTTTATTTTTAACTAAGTTCATTTTTATTATCACACATATTTAGCATAATTTTTGTTTATTATTTCTTATAATAAATTAAACTACTTTTTAAATATATTTATAATTTCTTGTATTTTGTTTCCTAATTAATTAACTATATATTGTACAGTTTATAATTTATTATATTATTATTGTTAGTCATTATTAACAATGTAAAATAATCATGTTGCTTTTTAATCATATGTTTATAAATACTTTAACTATGTAATGATGTTGAAGACTATGACAATAAATATTATCTTAGTCATACTTTATTGTTAAATATATCATAATTATTCTTTATATTGTTTGTTAATTTAATTTGTTTAATTGCAATTTTTATTAGTTCCATTTGAAACTAGATGATTGTTGGATAAAAAGTCACATGTCTGTTTTTTTTGCATGTTTTTATTGATTTTTAAAGGATATTTTTTAAAGATTTAGGTTATGAGTCCTAAAATTTAATATAAATAATACGCAAAAGTGTCCTGATGATTACTTGGCAGCTAGTGTTTTTAAGTATTGGTATTAAGTATAAATAGTGTAGTAAAGGTAGTTTTATCTATAATATTATTTGAATACTCAATATTTTTGGTAATCAATAGAGAAAACAAAATATAAAAACCAACCAGGATTTTGCATTTTAAAGTGTTTTAACTTTTATAAAGAATTTGTTAAAAATATGTTCACAATTTATATCATCAATTTAATAAATAAAAAATAAAAAACAAAAATACACATTAATTTGACATAAATTGGGATATAGTCATTTAACTTATAATCATTATCCAAAAGTAAACATTATAAGACAAAATAAACACTTCTTTAATTTAATTACAAAAATGTTTGTTTTTCTATTGTTTAATATAAAATGAGTTATAAATGTAACAAATGAATAAAGTTAACTCCAGTAAAATTTATAAAAAAAAATTAAGAAATAAAAAGTAAAATTAATGAATTAAAAATGCAAAACGCCTAAAGAGGAACTTTCAAATGTGTCACATTTGGAACCGTTAAGCGATCAAGTGGACGTTGTTGTTGGGATAACGGGAGTCGATTAACTTTTGTTCGCGGTAACTTTTCCATTCGAGGAGTTTCTGGTAAGAGTAAGCTAGATTTACGTCCTTTGGATACCATACTGGAAGGTGTTCGAGGTGATTGTTCGAATTTTGACTTGGTCATCGATGGTCGTGATATTCTACAACGGTATTGTTGTCGACGAAGTGTTTCCGCAAGACCAGCACGAGCTCGACGTAATGCCAAACTGCCACTTAGTCGAAGACGTCGATTAACTACCATACATGCATCGATAAATTGTGCCATCTAAAATTTAAAAATTAATGATTTATCAGTTATTGTATTTAACAGTGTACGAAAAGTGAGTAGATGCAATATAAATTTCTTTTGTTCATATAGTATACATTTTCTGTCTCTTCAATTAATATCACCAAAGAATACACGTTAAAAATAAATCAGTATCAGTTATATGTTCACTATATTTCAATTAACTTTTCACTAATTGTGAAATTTTGAAAATTTTAACGACATTGGTTTAAAATAAAATGTTAATAGAACTGTACATTTAAAGGTAATAACAATCCACCTCTTTATGCATTAACGATTAGTTATCATCATATTTTGTAAAAAAAAAAATTTAGTTTGACGAAAGTAAACTTTTTTTTTAGGAATTTAAAATTACATTCCGGGACTAAGGGCTTATTTGGATGGTTCTTTACTTTTGAAATCGTTTTAAAATAACCAACGTTATATTATGTATTTGCGAAAGAAGTTTATTTAATTGTACTTATTCACAATAAAATTTACACTTTAATAACTATTACACAATGTTTTATTTATTTTTTTGTGTTTTTATCACAGATTGAGGTTAATACGGGATAAAAAAAATCGTAGAGTTCGAAATATACTCACTCGAACAGTGAGAATTTTCTGTTCAGAAATGCGTTTCTTTGCACTTGTGATGAAGTCGTAAATTAATTAATAAATTTAATATTAATATTCATATCCCCAGGATATATATTTCAACGATTTTTACAATTATGATAACAACCTTAATATCTAAATAAAATAAAATAAATAATCTAGTATTCCGAACACCTAATATCATAATTGATTATCGTGACATTGACGATGACCAGTAAATTATACAAAAATTTGAAAAAAAAATTAACAATAGACTGAAAAGTGGCCAAGGACAGCCTAATCCACTAGGCTACCGGGAGAATTTTGTTGGCCTGGACTGCTAAAATGGCCTTCTGGCTTACACTGTCAGGAATGATATATGTTAAATATGGCCTGAATAAAATAATTATCAGACCCGTATTTTTTCCTCAGGCCGCCCCTTGAAGTGTATATAAACCGTTTACCTGTCTATCTCGTATCATTTTATGTGTATACGCACTAACAGGAAATTTGAGTAGTGGGTATATGCCGTATACTCTCAACTACACAACTGCTTTAGATGACACAAAACTAATGAGTATTAAAAAAAATCGTATTTATAAAACATAATAAAATGAATTTAAAAATTATATAGAATTGTTCTTATAATATAGTGTTTTCTATTTGGAATCATATAAATATAAAAATTTATCAATGAAAATTTAATATAATTAAATTTACCTGCGGTGAATAACTATCACAAGGGATAGGTGGATAAAATCCGTTAACTATGCGGTTCATCATCAAATTCATATCTAGAGAGCCATTCAAATGAAAAGGCGCTTGTAAAGCAGCCAACTAAACATCGAAAATAAAAATTAGTTTTATACAACAATTTACTTTAAATAAAAATTTCAGAATTATTTAAAATCTGAATATCGCTAATAATACTGTTTAAATTAAACAGTATTTATTTAGCGTTCATAATGGTAACATAATACGAAATACGTATCTGCGACTTTTTAGTTTTTTTTTTTTTTGTGGCTTATTAAGTTAAACATTTTTAATAATTTGTTAGTCTTAACTTAATATTTGTAATATGATTTTAATATTAAATAATTAGCCATAAGTGATCATTTTTTTATATCACTAGTAAATCAATCTAAGTTTTTATCTTTTTAACATTTTGTAACCTGATTGTGGCATGTTGTAATTAATAATATTCATAACCTTATATTATATATTATATAGAGTGTAGTTAATGATATTATACATTATATTATTGAATTTTTTAACTATTCATCCATTGCGCACATTCACTAGAAAATTCTGATTCCAACATTAGGTAATTTATAGACATTTTTTTGTAAGCTAATAACAAATATTTTTACATTGAGGGTCAAATTTACATTTTTTGACTTTTTTTATCAAAAATAATAAATAATGAGAAAAAATAAAATTTATAATTGCTCGTCGTGAAATTCAAAAAAAGGTATCCAACATTTTGCACTGTGTAGTAAAATACTTTGAACTATCCCGGGCAAATGTTCCAAATACGATAATGAGAAATTTAGATTTTAACAGAGAAATATGAAAATGTCCCCAAGATATTTCCAAATATCCTAAATGTCTATCTTGTAAACTAAATTCAAAATAATAATTTTTTACTTCGTAAACACAACATGCCGCTGACCACATATCGCTATCAGCATAATATGTACCAGAATCTTCTTGGTCATTTCCTTGAGCACATCCGTCAACTTGTCGTAAGCGCTCAGGGCTCATGTAAAGAGGAGATCCCAGGACCGACCGCAAACCAAATGAGTCACCGTTGTGTGGCCTAAAACCTTTACTGAAACCGAAGTCACCCAGTTTTAAAGTAGCTTGGGCCCACCGGCGATGTAATTTATCGTCGTCGCAACCTAAGTCAGAATCATTGTCAGCGTCCTCGTATACATCATATACGTTGTACACGAATATATTAGCTGGTTTTATGTCTATTTAAAAATTGACATCAATGAAATAATTGTTAAAAAAAAAATGGCGTTATAATTACCTCGATGCATTATACCGGCTTCGTGCATATGTTGAAGGGCGGCACACAATTGAACTGTACATGACCATACAGTAGCTTCTTTAACGAGAACACCAGCAGCATAATGTTCATGGACCATACGTCGCAGATCTCCACCCGTGGCCAGTTCGGTGGCAATTTTCAAAAGGGCTTCCCCTTCATTTCCAGCTGGAACATAATCCCACCACAAAAGACGCACGATATTAGGATGATCAAGTTTCTGTGAAAATAAAATAGTAAATATACACGATTTTGTATTTAAAATCCTAAAGTATTTGAAATTGAGTCGAGTTGATTATTGAAATTAACGTAATTTATTTGTCGAATGTAATGTGCAATTTATACAACACGTTAAACTTATATTTCATTCAGATTGATTCAATCTATTGGAGCCAATAAGACTTGTTTTCGAAGAGAATTTTGATTTCGAATATTTTTTAGTAGCGATTATGGTTTTGATAATAATTTATTTGGATTTTATACAATTTAATCGATTGCATCGTAAAAAAAGTATTTTATAGTCTTTCAGAGTTATTATTTAATTATTAAATAGCAAATATTGTGTTTTATATACCTTAAGATTAACTATTTCATTAATACAATCTCGATGTTCGGCATCTATTATACCTCCATATTTAACTTTGCTTATAATATTTTTACTATCTTGGCCGTTGGATTTTTCATTCTTAAGTCTCAATACTTTAAGTGCCACGTATTCGGTAACATTTGAATTATCATTTTGTGTAATTTGAGCCCTGTACACCGTACTAAACGTACCACGGCCTAGCACTTGGTCAATACGCACCACCAATGGTTTTTCATTGGATTCCGTTAATTGATTTAGAATATCTGGTTTTAGTGAAATCATGATTTATTTTTCAACTTTGTGAAAACGAACACGTCTGAATAGACCTCATTTACACAAACTATAAAAATGAGCAATACACGAGTATAAATATTAAATTTATAAAATTAAAAACTAACCAGATAATTTAAAAAGAAATCCAATATCATCACACGTTGTTCTATTGTATACAAATAATATGACGAAAATTTCCGTGTATTGATAAACTGGCGTATTGTATTATCAAACGGTTTATAAAAGTTGTTTTTTCGAGTTTACTAATGGAGATAAGTTGTATAAATAATTTCAGATTATCATAATAGATAACAAATTATCAAATTAAAAAAAAAATTCAAGACCTAATGCACTATATTGATGCAGTACGCTCGTTAAAGGTTGTCGTGCTGCAATCACTTTTGTGAGAGGTATATTTTAATTATATAATTTTGATTGAAGAATATATATGTATTTTTTATGTCGGTATTAATAGTATAATTTGATGAACCTCATGTAGTTTTGATAATGCAGTGTTCCTATTTATACTATAAACACGAGAAATTACTTTCTCATGATCATACCGAGGAAGCTAAAAGGGCTAATCTCTTCTCCCCCGTGGTTCATATTAAACCTAAAATTTAGATAAAATATGGCCAAAAAATTATTTTAGCATAAGCCCCTCCCCAATGAAATATATTGGATTCGTCAGTGGTAGTTACTATTAGTCATAAATATAATTAAAAGTAACTATATTTAATTCATAATCTATAGTATTCCTTTTAATGGTTTCCAAACCTAAGGTAAAATATTATTGTGCTCTGGAATAAACATAATGAGGGAGCCTTTATTTATTAAAAAAAACACATATTTTATCACTCCTACTACCTGCATTACTTGCTTCTTGAATATAAAATAGTTCTATTATTGTATTGTACTTTAATAACTTTTTATTATTTTTATGTCATTTGAGAAATAGTTATTTACTGTAGTAGGTTAGGGGCCCAATGGAAATTATAATTCGGGACCAAAAATGAGCCAAACCGATACTATAACTAGATTTTATATATTACATTTTATTTATTAAAACTACAAAACTTGGCTACTATTTAAAAAAAAATGTAATTATTTTTAAATTTGAATATACTAGCCTAATCATTATTCTTTAGTTATTTTATAACTTTATAGTTTTTGATGAGTAGTTATAAATAATTCAGTTGAATAATTCGACTTACAAAATACTATATATTTTTTTTATTTAATATTATAAAACTTAAATTACATTACAATAATAATAAATAACTTTAGGTATAATATATCTTATTTATATTGTACGCTTTCATAATTATTATCTTTCCATAAAAACTTGTAAGCATAAATTACTATTATGCAACGTGAATGTACTTTTTATGATGTCTTTTATTGTCTATATATCTGATATATTGAAGTCTAAAAATAGGGTACTAATTTTTCGTTCTAGTAGTTAATGACGTATACGATAAAAATGTAAAAAAAAGTTTTTATTGTATAAAAATGAAATTTAATTCTCTATTGCTATATAATAAAAATTGATTTAAAATTATTGGTTAAAATTATTTATAACTAAAACTATATTAAAAATATTAAATTCAAAAAACCACAAAAAATGACTAAAAAATCGCGAAACTCATGTCGGGAATAATGTTACCATTATAAATGCTAAAAACATACGTGTGTGTTAATATCGAAGATAAAAATTAGTTTGTACAACAAATTATTTAATTTGTTTATAATTAAAAATTTTAACATTACTAGTGATGTTTAGTATTGATAATGATAACGTTATATGAAAGACTTATCAGCAATTTTTTGTAACATTTTTATTTGAGTTAAATATTTTAAATATTTTTAGTTTTAAATTAATATTTAAATAATTATTTTTCTCACGTAAAAATTAAATTTCTTAGTTAAGAGAACGTAAAAAAAAAAATTAACGAATTAGTTTAGTATTTATATTATAGTAATTAAGCTAACCAAAATAATTATCAAACGGTTGTTCAAAGTTATTAATTCTGACGTATAAATTTTATTATATGAAATACATAAGTAATTTTAAAATTTACGCATTTCTTTCAATGTTAATATTTTTTGTATGGAAAAAATATTATGAATACATTCTATGAATTTATGGTTGATTTATTCGTGAGAACTTATTATACGTACAATATTTTTTTTATATAAAATAAAATGAAGGTTATTTTGTACGTAGAGTAATATTTCTAAGGTATTTTTTGTTAGTCTAATGTGTCTTTTTCATCAACATTGATAACATGGAGCCAATTTATTTAAACGGGTTCGCAATAAAAGTAGTAAATGGTTTTAAAGTTTATAGTGACAAAGTCATAGGACTTAAAGGAATAAATATGAGTGTACCTCGAGGGATAATGTAAGTAGATTAAAGTAAAGTATTTTTACTTATTAGTCTGCCCGTTTGTTATTTTGTAAATGTTTAACTCTTTATAAATGAATTAAACTGATTGTTTTTACTATCACTTGCAGTTATTGTCGACAAATTAATAAATTAACAAATTTTGTGTGATTATAATTAGTGAGCGGAATTATATGTGTTTATAAATATCGTTTAAACTACTTTGAAGGATCCTAAGTTTGTACAACTTTGTTATAGGATTATATAGTAGCACAAGAATATTTTTCGTTTTTTAATCCCTTAATTCGTCCAAAAATATAATATCAGTAAAAACACGTTACTAAATTTTCAAGTCAATTAATACTGGCGATGACGTGTTTGGAATAACTTAACAAAATTTAAAAATGCGTATAACTTTGTGCTTTAGTTATAATTATTCATTAATTCGTTTTTTTGTGGCCCATTATCATATGACATCCGCAATGCTTCAAAAATTGTATAACCTCCATAACTCAGGAATTTCTTTTTAGAAATTATACAAAGATTTTTTTAATTAATTTAAATCCGTATAGTAAAAATTATTTATTAATAAAATTGTGCTTCAATTAATCTGAAATACATAGTAATCCGAAGACGCCCCACCGTAACCATATTATTATAGTTTTTCTAAAAAAATTGTTATTAAATTTGTATAATAATTATTGAATTGTAATTTTGTAATTTTATATATTAGTGCATTGATTTTTATAATTGCATCACCTAGTAACTTAAACGATAAGTATAAGAAGCCAAATTTTAAAGAGATACCTAAATTTGACTGTTATTAGATATAGTCTCTTGGGTCCTAGTGGTTGCGGAAAAACTACATTATTAAAATCAATTGTTGGCGTAGAAACATTAGATTCTGGTTTTATACATCTTGACGCAGAATCTAAAATGGAAATTGGATTTATGCCACAAGTAATAAACATAATTTAATTAAATCTAAACACTTGACAAAATAATAATAATAACAATAAACTTTTTATTGTTAATTTAATTATGAAGTCAGATCTCCATTTTTTATTGTGAAATCTATACACCGTGACGACGCCAAAACTTTTGCAAAATGTGACTAAATCTATTATCGGAAGGGAAAATAGCTTAGCCTTCTATTACATAAATACTCTTATTAATCATTGCATACATTTTAGGGTGGGTAACAAGGTTGAGCCAATGCCGTAATTACTAAAATGAGAGTCTTTATGCTAACAGAGCTATTAAGTCCTCTATCTCGCCAGACGTTTAAGAATAGTGAACTCTCAATGTACGGGTGCTTATTAGCCTTATACACACAGCACAGATAATTTTTGTTATAATGGTCTGAGCTTACCATGGCCCCTTTTGGCGCCGCCATAGTTATCTATCACAGTCGATTCTAGCAAATTGGGTTAACTTTTATTGAATATTTTTTTTAAGGAAATAAATCTAGAAAAATATCTCTCAGTTAAAGAAGTTTTCAGCTATTATGGTTCATTATATAAATTATCTCCAGAAATATTCGTCCAAAGAACTACCGAACTTAATGCAATTTTAGAAATAGATTTTCATGATCAAATGATTAATAACTTAAGGTAATATATTTGTGAATTAATTTACATAAAACTTATGACTATTATTTTATTTAATTAAATAATACGGAATGGAGCATAATGCAATCTAAAATAAGTTTAAGATATCGATAAATATGGTTTTCAGTTTCTACCATTACTAATCTATGGATGGGTTGTATTCGATTAACAAACTAAACTCATAGTTTTAAAGTCATAAAAAAAAAAAAAAAATGTTTTATGTAAATTGAGTTGTAAATTGTTTCTCATTAGTTTCATTGTATTATATATAATTTTACCAAAAATCAGCCACGTCTCAGGGTTTTTTCGGGGAAGGAATTTGCATAAAATATAAAAAAACCATAAAAGGAAACTTCTTTACACTTTCATGAAAATTAAAAAAAAATAATTTTTAGTGGCGGTCAAGGAAGAAGAGTATCACTTGGAATTAGTCTACTACACGATCCTAAGATTTTAATACTTGATGAACCAACTGTTGGACTCGATCCAATACTACGCGATAAGTATTTACATAGCTAATAATATAATATTCACACTAAAAAATAATTGTTTTATTAGAATTTGGAATTATCTTCTTTCCTGTTTACGTACAAAAAATAAAACTATAATAATGAGTACACATTATATTGAAGAAGCTAATCAAGCCAACATTGTATGTACTTATATTTTAATGAATTAAAAGACCAGCATTTTTCAGTGTACTATATTTTAATTTTTAAGTTAAAATAACTTAAAAATTTTGATTATTTTAACTATTGCTAAATATTCTACATCCATCCTGATATTTATTTCAATTTCGCCTTATGAAAAACCGAAAGTATTATACTTTCATAGTACACTAATACTTGTATGTGTAGTAGGAACAATTTTATTTTATTAAAATAAATCGTATTCTAGATTGGTTTTATGAGAAATGGAAAAATATTGAAAGAAGCTTCACCAATATCAATTTTAACAAGTTATAACACTATTTCGCTAGAAAGTGCTTTTTTAGAAATTTGCAAAGAGAACTTAACTACTAAGGTAATTAAGATAAAATACAAAATGTAGGTAAATTTTCTATGGAATTTTGACACTAACTCGATTTTGTGTTTTACTATTATTTTATGATATAATTAATTTTTTTTTTTTGGTTCAAAACAGAGGGGACTAATCGTAATTTGCAAAATATTTGTACATTTTTCTTTAACAATAGTTGAATAACTGAGTAGCCAAGTGTGACCGAATCTAACAACACCATTGCTGTAATTAAGGCAATAGTTACGGCAACGCCATAAATATATAAAGCTCTATATATTTTTCAAACTCAAAATATTTTACTAAGAACTGACTTATAAAAATAAAATTTAAATTTTCTCGAATTTTTAAGCTTTTATTATTTATTATAATGGCGATTTTGTAAGTTATTTATCACGTAAAAAATAAAGAACTTAATATTTTTAATTCCTTATAATATTATCTATCTAATGGTAATAGTTTCATTGTTAAAAAATTAACCAAAAAACAGTTTTATTAATACCTTTTTTTCTGAAAATTCTCATCAAACTCAAATTTTAAAATTTATAAAAACGTATAAAATTGACGGATAAGTCTTAAATATTGAACATTTTTTTAATATAATATAATTAATATTAGCAACATTTTTTTATAATATATTGTTTAATTTCAAATGTTTTAATATAATTTAAATTTTTTAATAACAAATTAGTAATTATTTCAAAAACTACTAGATAAAATGGTGAAAACATAATGAGTTTTAAATCGGTGTCAAAATTTCGTAAAGAATTCACCTAAATATTGTTGACAATAAAACATTTTTCAATATTTATTGTTGTGTCCAATAGTTTATTATTAAATATTTTTTTATACAAATGAAATATACTTTTAGCTTCGATGCGAAGCTGAGAAGGTATTAATTTTACTATGATGTGTTTTTTTTTTTTGTGTCTGTTACCACTTTTTCTCAGCTCTCACCGAACCGATTTCTTTCAATGATACGTCAAAAGATCACAAATCGTATCTAGTCGAAGACATTACCCTCAAAAATTTCCCTCATTCCTCGTAAATGTAGGACTCCAAAAAAATTACAAACTTAAAAATTGCTAATTTTCGAAAATTTTTCTTTACCTATCATTTGGTATATTTTTTTCATAAATTTAACCCTAGACCTGCCCACGGGGGGTATTTAAAATGACAATTTTTTCACAAAAAATTAACTTTTTCAACTTAATTTTTAAAAGTGTTCCGGAAATACTGATACTTTTATATATATCTTAAATTAAAGCTTATGTAAAATACTTTAATATTAAAAAAAAAAATTTCGGACTTTATTTTGTTTTCACGGTGAAAATGGATATCGAATGCTATTTTAATTTTATAATGCTATAACTTATTGAAAAGTGTATGGATCAACACAATTTTTTTATGAGAAATAATATTTTTTAATAATCCCTCTTTCATTCGACATACTTTATATTAATCAGGATATTAAAAAGGAACTAGCAGATCATGTAGCTTTTGGAATAATCGACTAATTTTGTAAAATTAAACTCTATAAAGATTTGCATCGAAGCGTTTTATTTTTATAGTGATTTTAATCACTGTCAGATATCATTATACTTGATCCAACTATGCTACGTCACCACTGTGCCGCGACCCCCCTGTGCTGGATTTTTTTTGTTGAACCTACAGTATCAACTTTTTTATAAAAATATATTTGGGAAATTCTAATTTTCCGGTTGGATATTCTGCTCTCGGTGCATTACTTCATAATTTAGTAATTGATATATATATTTATATATATATATAAAGTAAGTAAATAAATTAAAAATAATGGTCTTTAAATTTAGAAGGATGTCGATAAATAATTTAATACACTATAAAAAAATATTGATGATTAAGTGGGCCCCTTGGACTCCCCCCTTTAAACCCACAACTGATAAGACGACATTTATAACACTTGGTTTAAAAAAAAATTCTGTTATAGACTGACGCGTCCACTATTAAATATTTGGGCGAAGGAACATTAAAAAATTCAAATTTTAATACTGTCTCAAACAATTTAATATCAAAACATAGAATCAAAACAATAATTAGGAAAAACTATAATGTTCTTTCTAATGACGTTATGTACGTAATTTAATTTTGATATTATTTATTAATATTAATATGAAAATATGTAATGAATTTTTTTATAATGTAGGTTTTATATTTTTACGTTTTTTTTACCATTAATTCTTCTAATATCATTGGAATATTCTATTGGTGGCAAATTGAAACATACCAATATAGGTGTTACTAATTATGAAGTTGATTTATCAAGTTGTAAACATACTAACTTCAGTGGATGTTTTTTCAATGAAAATCACAAACACGATTTGAGTTGTTCTGTACTTAATAATTTAAGATCACTTGATTATGAATTTGTCAGTATAAAATTTCATTTTAAATTAATTTAAAGAAACAGACTTATATATTTTTTTTTTTTTACAGATAGAATATAACGACAAAGATGTTGCATTATACTCAGTCGAAAAGACAAAAATATACGCGTACCTAAATTTTCCAAAAAATTTTTCGAATTCGTTTTACCAGTATATTGACAGTGATAAAGCGTCGTTAAGAGATTCTACTTTATTTTCACACATTGACAATGGAAGTAAGCTATAAAAATAAATATATATATAGTGTTAAATATTTTTAAAGCTATAAGATTTATTCAGGCTGCTTTCATTTATAGATCTATCTTTTATCAATATTATAAGTCAATTCTCATACTTGTATAAGTTTGTAAAAATTCTAGAATCGTTATTTTTTATTAATTCAATTAATTTTTTAAATATAATTATATTATTTGATTATAAATCAATATAATCCTATTATTCTTTTTATTTTATCTGCGATGTTAAGCTGAGAAGGTATTTATTTATAATGTTTTTTTTGTTGCCACTTTTTCTTAGCTCTCGCCGGACTGCTGATTTCTTTAAACGATACGTCAAAATATCACAAATCGTATCTAGTTGAAATCATTGCCCTTAAAAAATTTCCCTCTTTTCCCGTAAATTGTGGAAATGCATAAAAAAATTACAATTTTTAAAATTGATAAATTTCATTTTTAAAACTTTTTTTTTTCTAAAAAAAATTGTCATAACTTTTTGAAAAATTATTAAATTAAAAAAATTTTTTTTTTATTGAAACCTTAGGTATTTTCCTTTTATTTGATATAAATTATTTAAATAACTGACAATTTATTTGCTCACAGAGAGAAATTCAAAATGGCAACATTTTTACAAAATACAACTTTTTAAACTTAACTTTTGAAAATGTTCCGGAAATACTACGTCCTTTAAACATATTTTAAAATTAAAGATTATGTTACGTGCTATAATTATAACAATTTGTTCCGAAGATTTATCTTCTATGTGCAAGTGGCTACCGTAAATTTTCGATTTTATATTTTATTGATTAATTTAAATTTTTTTATAAATGTAAATATATACTCCTTTCATCTAATATATATTTTTTTAATGAGACCATTTCACTTTATACAAAACTTGAAACATACAAACTTCAAATTTTATCAATTTATCTTTTTAATTTTTTCTAGTATTTTTGCAAGCTTTAAACATATGTTTAATTAAAGCTCATATTACTTAAGTTAATAATAAAAAATTTACCCGACGATTTGTCTTCTGTATGTACAAAGTCCCTGAAGTTAGTCAAAAAATTTTAGTTTGGTATAAAAGCCATCGTTTTTTAAGTTTTTATTTTTATATAAATGTATTTTATAGAGTGTTCAGTAACTATAACAATTGACTCGTTTCCTTACTTACTGAACTTTCTGTATAAACTTTTTTATATTAATATTGAAATAAATCATTTCTATAAAATTCTTGATGTTTAAATAGATACTAAAATTCAAAATTATATTTCATACAATAACATTTTATAATATACTAATATTCAAAAATATTCCGTATCTAGCAGATTTATCCGCTAGATTTTAATCTAGATTTTTTTTCATGACCCTACTGTGCTACCGTTTTTTTTAAACATTTTTGAATTTATATATATATATGTTTTTTGTTACAATAAACTTGATACTTACTATGGTTTTTGAAAATGTCATTATTTAACCAAAACATGGGTGTAGTATACTTAATAAATTATATAATATATAAAAATCCATATCTTACGAGTATATATATTCGCTAAAAATGTCAAATATTATATCTTCGCCAGTCTCAGTATTAGATAAATAATTTAACATTAATTTTTACGTGTTCAAAATTGCTATTTATTTTATTGCAAGCTATTGTGATTACCATTACCTTATTTTACTTTACTCTAGTTTAATTCTCTTATTATTTATTATTTAAATTGGTTTAGCTTTAAAATTTCGAACATTCATCTACTCTCAGGAAGGGGTTATTTATTTTTGAATGTTAAATTTTTCAATTTGATGGTTATATGGTACCATTATTAATTTATAAACATGTTAAATTAGAACTTATGTGATGTATTATAAAATATAAAAAAATCTTTTGTACAATTTTATACTTCGTAATTTCTATAGGTTTTTTAGCTATTAATTTTTTGTTTAGATTTTTTAATAAAATTTCAAATTTATACTGATTTTTCATGGGCATTAGAAAAAACATTTGAAGATGCATTGTCTAATTGCAATTACAAAACAGAGTTGATGAAGAATATAGTAAGTAAAAGAACTATTTATTGTTTTTTATTTAAATAAAAAAAAAAAACCCGTAACTTCATTATGTAATAATTGTATTTTAATATTTATAGTAGTTAAATTTAATTAGCAATTAAATTGTTTATGGTTAGAGCAATTGTAGTATAAGTCAATTTTTATTAAATGAATAGTAATTGACACTGTTATTATTAATTCTTTAGTTATTTTAATTTAAAAATGTAAAAAAAAAATATTATAAATTGTCCTTATTCCAATTGTTCAATTTTGAAATATTTTTGTAAACATTTAAATTTGAAAGATTTTTTTTTAATTTTCGAATGTTATAGCTTCATTTATATAAAATTCGGAATACTTTAATGAATTGTTGAGAATAAATGGTCCAGAAAATGCTAAGAATTTTTATTGACAGATACATCATTATAAAATAATACCTTCTTAACTTTGCATTGAAGCTAAATAACAAACTTCTAGCTACTTTACAACTTATAATATAAATAAGATTGAAACATTTTATATACTAAATTAAATTTTAGTCATTATGTTGTAGAATAAAAAAGTATTGTATGGAGAAAAAGTTAAAAAGGTAAATCATATTTTCATTGGATATTTACTGGCAATGTAAGTAGTAGATTAATATTATATTTTATTATAAAAAGTTATTTTTGTATTAAAAAAATAAAGCTAAAATTGTAAATTGTAGGCTCTGATTTAAAAATTCGCAGATTTGTTTTAATTTAAAATATTGGACCTTCAACATAAAAAAATTCAATTATTGAAATTTAACTAGCGAAAAAATAAATTTATCATCTATCGAAAAATTTTATTTTAGCTTCGATGCGAAGCTGAGAAGGTATTAATTTTACTATGATGTGTTATTTTTTTTTGTGTCTGTTACCACTTTTTCTCAGCTCTCACCGACCCGATTTCTTTCAATGATATGTCAAAAGATCACAAATCGTATATAGTCGAAGACATTATCCTCAAAAATTGAAAAAATTTCCCTCGTTCCCCATAAATGGGGGAAACCTCCAAAAAAATTACAAATTTAAAAATCGCTAATCTTCAAGATTTTTTCAATTTTTTTTAATTAAGACTGCTATAACTTTTTCAAAAATGAACAAATCAATATAATTTTTTTTTATATAGATGCATGATATCATTATCTTTCTATTGGTATGTTATTTTATAAATTTGACCCTAGACCTGCCCACGGGGGGGATTTAAAATGACAAATTTTTCACAAAAAATTAACTTTTTCAACTTAATTTTTAAAAGTGTTCCGGAAATACTGATACTTTTATATATATCTTAAATTAAAGCTTATGTAAAATACTTTAATATTAAAAAAAAAAATTTCGGACTTTATTTTGTCTTCGCGGTGAAAATGGCTACCGAATGCTATTTTTGTGTGAAAATTCTCAATTTTATTTTTTACAATTTTAATTTTATAACGCTATAAATCTTTGAAAAGTGTATGGATCAACACAGTTTTTTTATGAGAAATAATATTTTTTAATAATCCCTCTTTCATTCGACATACTTTGTATTAATCAGGATATTAAAAAGAAACTAGCAGATCATGTAGCTTTTGGAATAATCCACCAATTTTTTTAAATTAAACACTATCTAAAGATTTGCATCGAAGCGTTTTTTATGATAGTGATTTTAATCACTGTCAAATATCATTATACTTGATCCAACTATACCACGACATCACTGTGCCACGACCCCCCTATACTGGCTTTTTCCTTTATAATGCTATCGGAGAAATACTTTTTTGAGTAAGCTCAGTATAAATGTCTTTTAAATAGCATTATTTCAAATATATTAATTATTTAATACAATAATAATAATTAAAAAATATAGTATATCGATATTAAATTATCTTGGCTGCACATTTCTTTTACTTTGAATAAAAATAAATAACACGTCTTAGTGATTTTCAGAAATAAATACCCAGCAAAATTAATACCTTCTCAGCTTCGCATCGAAACTAAAAAAATTGAAATAAAATGATTATTGATTCAAAAGTTATAAGAATTGTCAGTTAGATCTGTTACATTCTGTATGTATAAAAATATGGTATGACACAACCAATCAAAATAGTTATACTGAATTATTTTGCCAGTAATTGTACAAATATATACATAGAAAAACTTGCCTTAACATTTCTTACCTTATCTTAGAAGAAAATTATATTTTTTTTTTTGTAAAAAAAAGGTATTTTTTTTTTTCAATTAACTTTATTAAATTTACATCTATACAAAATATATGCACAACCGTAAATGGGTTAACAGTAGAGAAAAAAAAAGAATACAATATGACTTGAATAGCATGCAGTAGGGCCCCCAATGGAACTACTTACTTTGAATTTTGTTTTTTTTTTCTTCTATAGGAGGTCTCTACACCATTTTCTTTTTAATCTTCTTGGCGGATTGTCGGGGATGTGATTTGAATAGAGGTATTGGATATTAGAGTTTGGGTGAGAGTTAAATTTGTTATGAAGTTTTAGGTAAGCAGTTTTGGCGTTATTGTTAACATAACTAATTTGAAGATCTGAATGGAGAAGGTATTTCTATAAATTAAAATCTAATAAACTGAATTTTTGTGATATAAAAATAAAATAAATCTGAGACTTGTATCTATAAGAAGTACTTCACAAAAACGAAAAAATAACTACTGTAAAAAAAAATTACAAATGGTCACAATATGATTTGAAATTTTTCTTAAAGAATAAATTGTCTTTTTCCCACGGAAATTTAAATGTTGTTGAAAACGTATTTAGTTTTTTTGTAATCGTAATTTGAAAATATATAATATATATTTATATAGATAAGCCTTTTAGATTCAAAACCCTTTTATATTTAAAAAGAATTTTTTTTTTTTGTTTTCAGCATGTATGCTTACAAAACATGTTAAAGCATATGGTTATAATCAAATGTATCTGTGATTTTGCCCTTCAGGCGGCCCATGGTCAGCTGAAGGGCAAATAATTAAAGTAAAATAATTAAAAATATTCTGACACTTTTTATGAACGAAATTGAATTTTAAATAATGTATTGATTTTTGTTCTTATTTAATACTTTAAAATAAAAATTATTTTATCTTGATAAATTGATATTTTTATTGACTAGGAGTATTTTTTACTATTCAAGCGTGGGCTCTGCAAGTTTCATGTTAATGGAAAAAAATGATGGATTAATGACTAGATCTATGACAGCGGGTAGCTATTACAATTTGAATATTTTATTATTTTTTATTTAAGCATATGATCATTTTATTTTTAATAAATTTTTAGGAGTGACAGTATTTGATATTATTACTTCTTACTTAATAACTCATACACTATTAAATAGTGTATTAATAATAGTTTTAATGAGTATTTCATTTATTATTTTTCAATATCCATTGGAAAATCCAGCAGTTGTTATTGATATATTTTTTGCTTTAATACTTATATCATGGATCGGCTTCTTCTATGGTAATAATTTCCAGTTGATGTGTTAAAATTTTTGCAAACTTGATATAAAAATAAAATAAAATTACAGGAATATTGTGTGCTGCAATTTCGCGAAGTAGTACTGAAGTAATGTATTTGACATATGGAGCTGGTTCTGTACAATTGTTTTTAGGAGGTGTGTTTTATTATTGATAATTTCAAATGTTTTAATTGTAAGAATACAGAATAAAATAATAAATTTTTTAATTTATTTTGTTGTATATATATAGGTGTAATTTGGCCAATAGAAGCCCAATTTCAAATAGTTCAGTATATTTCTTATAATTTACCTGCGAGTATTGTAGGAAGAATATTAGTCAACGCAATTGCAAAAGGCTGGTCATTAAGTCATCCACTAGTCATGGTCGATGTTATAAAAACTGTTATTTATTTATTTATCCATATAGCTCCTGTGGTTTTTTATAAATACATAAAAAAAAATATTTGGATTAGTCATAAATGATAGAAGTCAACTTTTCCATTCGTTTTCAGAAATAAGAGTTAATTCAAGTTATTTTAATTAATTAAAAACAAAAACAAATTAATACATTTTAATAGTATTAAAATTTACGATTAATATCTATATATTTTGAACAATTAAATTCTATTACAATATAAAAATTTTAAGTTCAATGAAAAATATTTATTAATATTCAGTACATATATATCCGTTTCTTATACTTATTATTAGTTTTCGTTAAATTTATCCCTTAAATTGGCTCAGAATAAAAAGTTTAACCTTAGTATTCTGTGTCAATTTATTAATTTAGACAAAATTGTGTCAAAATTATAATTTCATGTTTTTTACATTTTTTGAAACGCAATATATTAAAAACTAAGTTTTTAATAATTTCATTTATTTATTATATATTAAGTTAATTTATTTAAATATAAAGTTATTTATTTAGCACATAATTATTTTATGGTTACCATATATTTATAGAATTATGGCAATATTATTTTGTAAAATACTTTTAATATCATTACATTTGTAAAATTTTTGAGTATCTATAATAAATTAGTCTCCTAAAATTATTAAGTCTATAATTTTTCTCCATGTAGGTTTAAGATATAATTAAAATTAATCAACTACAAATATAACAAATGTCATTAAAAATAAATATAACACTCAAGGCTTGAATTCTAAAATTTTTTTTTTTTCTAGTATGATAATATTACTTGATATTTGCGTTTTTCGTCATGATATATACGTTACATTACGTTGATTAAATAATTGCATTTAATGTTTATTTCTTTTGTAATAGTATTCTATATTTGCATTAAATGTTTTCTGATATTTTAATATCGTTTCATTTTTGTAATTTATATGTTTGATATTTTATTTTTTGCAAGATCCTAATTATTACTTTATTTGACATACATTTTTACGTAAGTTGAAATTAAAACAGAAATTTTTAGGTTTTTTTTAAATTTATACAAGACTTTGCCTAACTTGGACTTCGTCCCAGAACCGGTGCCTTGCAGTCTTCATGCACCTACGGCGCGTTAGGACCTTCGAATTATCTTTTAAGTCTAATATTTCAATGTTTTATTATATACAGGGATTGCATCGCTTTTGAAAAATAAATAATCAACAAAAATAAAAAAAAATATCACGAGATATTCTCATGTCCTAATAAAATTTAACTTAAAAGTAATTAAAATTTACGTAATACATTTTCTAACGTTTCATGTTATGATGAGTTAAATAATGAATTTTTTTTAATGTTTCGTGTTATTGAATGTGTAATTTTATTAATTTTTAGTTTTATTTTTTTTATCCATTTTTAAAGTTAAAGTTATAATATTCTTTTAACATTTTTAAAACCAGAAACACTATACAATAATTTTTATTATGTTTAACATGTAAAAACATAATAGATAAGTAATTATTAGGGTTAGTCTACGATACTGATATTGTCGATTTTTTATTTTTCGCACGATATCGATTATTTTTGAAATATCGCAATTATCGAAAAAAAAAGTTAATTAAAAAAACTGTTTGAACTTGGGTCACTTTGTTACAAAACATACATTATTTGATATTATGCCAAAAACTGTTCGTGATAATCATGTTAATATTTTTTGTATTAAAATATATTATGAAATATAGAATTGAGATAAGACGAAAAATGACATTTATTAATACAAAATTCTATTCTTAGATTTGGCTTTTTATTATGACATTGTTGTTATTCCTAATTTTAACAAAACATAAACAAAATAATGTTTGAGGAGAATTAGAGAAAAAAAATTTAGAATTAGAAGATTTACAGCAACATCTGTTTGAAACTTTATCTAAAAAGTAAAACTAATTTATTGAACCCCTAAAAAAAAAAGAAAAACCCATAATAGATGAATGATGAAGATGATGTTTTATTCTGCAAAAGTTTAAATCTCATAAGATTATTTTATTATTACATTTTATTATTATAGAGAAGCAATATGATTTTCAGTTATGATAAAGCAATAAAATAATGTTAACAGTACTTATAATCTCTTTTTATTATTATTATTCAAAACCAAATCACAGAAACTATAATACTATTATTCAATAAATTACAATTTCATTCAATATAAACAATATATAATAATAAAGTCTTGTAATAAAAAAAAAAAACTTATTTCTTCATAATAAAAAGTAATTTGAAAATATTTGATTATCGTTATGAGATATAGCTATTATCTATATATTTTTTATATTAATATCATTATCTGATTTGGTTGGTTAGTCTAATTTTTACAACGATGATAACTTAACGGTGTTCTTGAAAATAAAAAAACGACGAAAACTTTTAAATAATAAATTTAATTTTTGGATATATTTATGTAATATGTATTGGATACACATCAATATGTTGTCGCGAAATTGTGTTGTGATTATTTATATTATTGTTGTACTACGCCTATTATTATTATTATTTGTTTATATCAGTGTCTTTGTGGCATTAGTATTAAGTGCCCCCCTATCCACATTGGTGTATATGAGATTTTATACTTCTTGTATAATACATTTAATTGTTATAATTATATATTGTAAAATTCATTCTACATTCAAAAATATAGTCCACTCACCTTTACATAATACTCGACTGTAGTAAATCAAAAAAAAGAAAATAATAATATTATTTGTTTGTTTAAAAAGGGGGTTATTACTTGTATTAATTTAGGGAATACTTTGAAAATTACTTAAATGAAATAAATTAAATAGAATATGACGGGATTTGGGTTCTTGTTTGATTCACTACTTTATTGTATTAATAATATTATTACTCGGGGTATGAGTACGAGGGTCTGTAAGAAAGATAGAAGATGATAGAAAATAAAGTGATCTTTATTTTATTAATATGGGATTTATTATAATTAATTGTTAATTTTTAAATATCAATAATGCCATGAGTTTTGACGGTTATCGATGATAGGTGGGATTAAGTCACCTCGTGTGTCTACCCAGAGTGGTATGGTATGGTGGCTATACATATGAACCTTCAACCTAACTCCTGAAATAGACACGTATCAACGATATAACTCTGCCAAGTAATTCTGTACAAACATTATCGATTTATTAAATTTACTTGGTATATTTATTATTATTGATAATCACTTGATTTTCCTGTATGCCTATTTAATCTATGTACTCATAAAATTTTAATTCTAAACCTTATATATATTTTTGGTGAATTTATTAGATTCTTACCTTGATATTTTCTGTGTCACTCTTAAATAAATAGACGTTGTATTTTTTGTACAAATATAATTGCAAAGACGGCGGATCACTTCTTGCATATATTTCGTTGTGTGGAATGATCGAGTGTAGCGAGTGCCTCTGTGAATATCTGACTGCATCTGTCTCAGAATGCTCTTTATTTTTGGCTTTTTATACTAAATTTGATCGTGGTTCAAAGGCAAGAAGTGATCACCGACACCACTATTATTTCTTTATTAATCGTAATTTATTACATGTTATTAATTACATTTTCATCAATAATGATCTACATATTATAAAATACTATTATATCTTATATAATAAATTAGACATAGTTTATTACCCTTCATCTTATGTGCTACCATTACATGTTGTTTATTATTTCTTATTTGTTTTATATAATTAATATATGCTTTTTTCTACGAAATTTCATTAGTATATTTAAACATTTAAAAGGTACATATATATATTATTTTTATTGGTATACATTTCATTTTGTGTGATTGATTGATTGAAGTCTTAAATAATACATTATGACATTAATGATGTATAGTTTATATTACAAATAATTCATTATGATATTAATGATGTACTACTATATATATCATTACACGACATGGCTAAAGACTTAGGACAAAATAAAACCACGAACGTTAACGAATCCGTGTAAATACCACCGGGCGCTGCGTTTACACAATATAAATATGAATATATTCAATGGCAGGTTAATTAATTTTTTCACACGATATCGGGAACAATTTTTTTTTTCCATTATTGCCATATAATACCACTGAAATTCAGTACGATATCGATATCCGAAAATATGTCATTGACGAACCCTAATAATTATATCAATAAAAATATTACAAGTAAGAAAAACGAAGTATAAATTCGAGTAATACAATGTCATGACAATAAAAACAATAATTCATTTAAGTGCAATACGAAATATAATAAAGACTTGGTACATCCAACTGTATAAAGTTAAAAAAAATAACCTTTTATATCAATATTTTAATAAATGAATAAAATCTTTGAATGTTAATTATAACCACGACAAAAAAATGTGTTTAATTTATAACATAATACATATAGCAATAAATTTCCAATTTAAAGTACTGCAATTAACTAATGATATTTAATATTATGTTTTAAATACTTCAAATGATTAATCGTTTTTTGTTCATAAATATTAATTCACTTTTAACTCAATTACAATTTGGAAAAGTGAAAAATTTGAATATTAAATCTCAGAAATATTTGAGTTTAAGGCTTCTGGGTACTGACCGTTTATTAGTCAAAAATATCCTGTTTTTGTTTCATCAGTTCGTCGTTTTTTTTTATTAATGGGATAACAATTCTGAAAATAGATATAAATTCAGCATCATGTCACTCACGTATAGGTCTGGCCATTTTTTTGAAATTATGATTTTTTAACCTTTATTTACAGTTTACATTTATCAAAATTAAAATTTTTGCGTCGAAAGTTATTCAGTCGCACATTAAATTTAATTTCAAATAATAGGAACAAACAAATTAATATGTGTATAATATTATGTAATAATATATGATTATATCTTTTAAGTTTAATTACAATTAATCATTTTTTGATATAATTAATAAATATATGATTTATAAAAAACAATAATTTGTTTTATTATTACTGTTATAAATTTCTCTAATGGGACGTGTGTGGCATAGTGGTTGATCCTCTAAAACTCTATTCAGTTAGAAATTTTATAGGAGAGGTACAGATAATTTTTAGTAGTGGGAAACTTCACCTCTCTACTACCCCTATGTTTTATTTCTATGAGAAGTTCAGACTCCGCATAGATCTCCCCGTAAATACGCCCCTGGTTCCACTCATTTCACATATATATAAAATTTATCAGTATAATTTAAAAAATGTATTAACTATATTTAAAAATTTATTTGAGTAATAAACTATTAGATTTATACAAAATTGTTCATGGTAAAATTTTTTTAGTTTTTTATAATTTTTGAACTTATTAAACCTCCTGTAATTTATCTTTTTATGTCTAGGATTGTATAGAGTTTATCTAATAACAATAAAGTATACCCAAAAAAACACTTAATAATTTTTTTATCAAGGTTATATTAATTCACACAAGCGTAATGATAGAATGTTTTTTTTGTATTGCACATAATTATTTTAGTTAATAATTAAAATTAAAATTATTTTGCATTTACTATAGCGGAACAGTTATATTCTAAAATTCGTTTTACAAGTATTATGTAAATTTTTGTTATAATATTTCAACATTTATTCATACTGCTAAAATTATAAGAATTAATAGAAATAGCCGAAATACAATGATTATTATTCATATTTCAATGATAAATGTTTATTTTTTATATTTATTATAAATATTTTTAAAAATTACATCCAGTATTGTTTTCATTGTTATTATTATTATTTTCATACATGTTTTTAATGAATAATGATAATATTAATATTTTTTTTGAAAAGGAAAATTTTAACTCATAACCTTGGGAATCTGCTCAACCGAACAATTCTAAAATCAGTGTCATTACTATGATTTGCAATATCCAAGAATAATTATCAATAACAATCTATTAAAATTAATTAATTTTCTAACAAATTTTCCTTTTTTTTTTTGCGTACAGCTCTGTTCTCCCATCACATCGGTATAGCCAAAGTATACTACTGTAATTAAAAATTTTTACTATAAAACATTATTAGCTGGATAGATATATGGAATTTATAATTTTTGAAAACATATTCAGCTTAAAAAGGTTAATTAAAGTTTAATTTAATTTAAAAACTTTTAAAACTATCATTTTTTACATTGATACCATTATTCAAAACATCTATAAGTGTTACATTGAACTTGGAAATAATTCACACAACTTGCACAGTTACACAATGAATTTTTGTTTGTTTGATGAGGTTTTAAAAAAATTATTTAATCCCTTCCTAGGGCAAAATTCTAATCACTTACTGTTGATGTTTGTAAGATTAAAATTAGAAATAAATATATTTAAATTATTTAAATGTATAACAAAATATACAGAGCGACCCCAAGTAGTTGGGATTAAGGCAAAAAAAAAAAGATAACAAAATATTCAGAGTTTTCAATAAGTTAGGTTAAAATATTTATTTTTTTGATTGTTTTAATAGTTAACCTGTTTTCTTACTTTTTGGAAACTATATGTTAATTTTAATTTTTTTATAGTTATAATTGTTATTTTTCAAAATTTATAATATAGATCTTATAAAAAATGTATTATCATATTAGCCATACTTATCAAACATTTATTATTGATACAATTTTTAATGCCGAAGAAAATTACAAGATTAATAAAATATATATACAGAGTAGGACAGATCGAACTGTCAACTCATATGACTTATGATCTACATAACATTTTATAATTTTTTTTTAAACAATTTCTACAACATAGATCTATATTTAAAATAATTTTTATGTTATTTTGCGAAATTAAAAAAATATTTTAAAAGAATAGTTTTTTTATTAAATTTTTTTTAAGATTTAAATAAAGCCATTTTATAGATAAGTTTTGAAGAAAAAAATTTTGATACCATAAATTATTATTTTTAAAAATATGAACAATCTTTTTACAGAAATGATTATCTCAAATTTTTTTTATAAAATGTTGGTAACATTTTTTTTATATTAACTGCAAATTTTCGATATATGACCCAGTTAAAATTGATAACAATTATTAATTTGCGTAATTCTATTATTGATATCATATTATTTTAGGATATTCCTCGTTAAGAAATTTGATAATAAATGTGATTAATTTATTATTATTTACATTTAAATTTATGAACCTATTTAATTAGAAAGTCAGCATGTTAAAGATAACATTTTTATAATTTTTTTGATAAACTTAATTTACTACTACTTCTTTTATTTTCATTACAGATGCTCATTCAAACTTTACTATTTATATAAATATATACATATATATATGTATATATTTATTTATTTATTTAATAAGTATATATTTTATAACATGTCTACAATATTTATCATTAAAGCATTAGAAACGATTTTGTATTTAGTAACGCATTATAAATCAGCCAGATTTTATATACTAAGGATAAAGTTTCTTTTAAAATATACTAATGGAAGGTCAAGAAATTAATTATGATTCCCTCTACTTCTAATTATAAACTAAATATTCAATATTAAAATAAGAATTTATTTCATACATTTCATACATTTCATGATATCTTCAAATCCATTATTTTAGAATTCCATAATTTTTCTGGTGAAATTAAAACATATTAAAGATGGTACAACATATAGAGGATAACGTTGCTATACGAGTAATTAATGCTCACAAATCTTACAATGATGGTGTTCCTATAATAAATGGTTTAAATATGACTGTACCAATTGGAAAAATGTAAGTAACAGATTATTTGTTTTTTTGTTCAGAAGGTAATATATTTTAATATATTACATTATATGATAATATACTGATTATTATGTTATTAGCTATGAATAACTAAAGTAATAGGAGGCTATAAACTTGATAAAAAATATCACACTTTTTTTACGGAATGTTTATTTAAACCAATATTAAATTGAAGCTTTTAAAATGAACTTTATAATTAAAACGTTCCAATGACTTAATTTCAATGTAAAATTGGTTTTTGAAGAAAAAATAATATAGTCTGGTTAAAATTGTCACTTAATTTTCTTCTTCCTTTCCATCGCCTTCATCTCAACTACTTTGGGATCGACCACCCGGAATCTAAATCTCCACTCTCATATCATTTATACACCCAGAGAAAAACCTCGATCTATATAATAAATTCATTGTTCAATTTGATAAATATATCATTACTATTGAACCTATGATATATTTATCAATATGATAGTTTTTTTTCTTGTCTTGAACAATAATTATTTTGTTCGTATTAATAAAACATTATCATAAACCCTTGATAAAATTTCTCTATTAAAATTGAGGTTTTTCTTTGAGTGTACACTAGGGTGGCCCTTAAAAATCGATTTTTTTTTTTTACGCTACCCCTTAATTTTTTTTTAATGGTCAAAAAAATGAGCTGTGCAAAATTTGGGACCGATCCGTTAAGGTTAACCCGTGCCCCCGGGCCTATTAAGTTAAGTCGAAGAGTCAAATTTAATAGAAATAACTGATCTATGTCTTATAACNGGGCCTATTAAGTTAAGTCGAAGAGTCAAATTTAATAGAAATAACTGATCTATGTCTCGTAACTTTTTTTTCTCTTAACTTAGGATTATAAAAGTAAAATTCAAGTAAAGGAAATTTTACAAGAAATTCAAAAATAATAACTTCAATGCTGTTTTCTCAATAAATAGCCCACAAAAACACTACATACAGTAAAAAACATGTGAAAGTCTTAAAATACGTTATAACTGATTTTGTTGATTTTTAATTATTTATTTTCATTTTATTTTTTGGAAAACGCATATTCGTTTAAAAAAAGATTCTAGAAGTTTAATTTTTTATGCCAAGTACGATAATTATATTAGATTTATTATTTTATGGACAGTTAATTAATGATTAATTACAAATTTAACAAAATTGATTGTATTATTACATTTTGTCGTATCAATATATCAATTTTGGTTTACTGAATTACTTTAAGATAGTACCAATTATATTATTATTAAAGATAAGTATATTTGAGTTATTTTCGACAACTGACATAATTTGTGTCGTATAAATGCAGCAGACAATTTGTGAACACGTTAAATATATTTTACCTGTTTATTATTATATATTAAATGATACGTTTTAATCACAAATGTACAATACTTTTAGCGTCTTTTAAAGTATTACGAACTAATATTTATCTTATTGGTAATTATTCCCACGAAATAACTGGTAGTAAGTTACCATCAAATTTACAACTATTTAATCTGAACACTGATTTTTTGAAAATTGATCCATCATTTTGGAGTGCGAACAACAGTTACATAAATGCTTTAAATACTATAAGTAAATTACGAGTCATTAATGATACAGCCTAGCGTGGCATTAAATTAATCTAAGACTACATTAATATATTAACTACAAATGAAGAACAGAAACAATACGTTTTACAAATAGTAAGTAATTATCGGAAAAAATTTCCTAATTGTAAAAAAAGTACATTATCAAAAAATATATTATAATAATATAATTTAATTATTGTTAAAATATTTTTTTTAAAGTTATTATTATTTAAAAAAAAATAAATTAAAAATTGTTAATAACAATTAAATTAAACTGTTAGGTTTGTAATTAATCATTAATTAACTGTCCATAAAATAATAAATCTAATATAATTATCGTACTTGGCATAAAAAATTAAACTTCTAGAATCTTTTTTTAAACGAATATGCGTTTTCCAAAAAATAAAATGAAAATAAATAATTAAAAATCAACAAAATCAGTTATAACGTATTTTAAGACTTTTACATGTTTTTTACTGTATGTAGTGTTTTTGTGGGCTATTTATTGAGAAAACAACATTGAAGTTATTATTTTTGAATTTCTTGTAAAATTTCCTTTACTTGAGTTTTACTTTTATAATTCTAAGTTAAGAGAAAAAAAAGTTATGAGACATAGATCAGTTATTTCTATTAAATTTGACTCTTCGACTTAACTTAATAGGCCCGGGGGCACGGGTTAACCTTAACGGATCGGTCCCAAATTTTGCACAGCTCATTTTTTTGACCATTAAAAAAAAATTAAGGGGTAGCGTAAAAAAAAAAAAGACATTCGATTTTTGAGGGCCACCCTAGTGTACACACAGCAGCTTTGCAGTTCTTATGTTAAATTTGTTATTTCTTATATCATTAAATTTTTCTACGTTATTTTTACAACAAAATAGTACCTATAGTATTGCCGTGTTTAGTAAGGTGCAGATTTAACTTCACTTGAAAATACCTTCTTTCCAAAAATATTTTCACAAAACTTTATATAGACGTATTATAATAGTGATGGTTATCATAGTCATAAAATTGACTTTATTAATGATTAAAAAAAATGCTGAAGGTTTAACTATTACTTTTTGTAATAAAATATAAGTTACAAAAATATAATCTACCTAGAATAATTTTACGGGGGTTTCAAAAATATTAATTTTATATCGTCTCGAAGCTATTATAATTTGTACACTTTTAATTAAAAGAAAAATGCAGTTTGTAATTGTTTTTTAATATTATGATACTATAGTTAGTAGGGTGGTCTAAAAGTGACAAAAAAAAAATTTTTTTTTTAAGTTATACTCCTACACTTGAAAATTGTTCTACCTGGTTTTATATACAATTCTCAAGAAAAAAAAACACTAAAAATTAATTTTTGAGACATCCCAAGCTATTTGAAAATTTTTAACTTAAAAAAAAAATAAAATAATAATGAAAACTATTTTATGTATACGTTCTTATATTTTTTTATCAATAAGTCAAGCTATATTATATAAATCATTTTTAACATTTCTAATTTTACTTACTAAAGAATTAAAAAATATATAAAAGTTGAATTGCTTTTTTTTAAAGTTTGTTTGCTGCAATCAGGGTAAATCTTCCGATGCTCAGAAACTACTTGTAAGAGAAACTGAAGTTGATCCTCATCATGAGTAATTTTGCGATTAAGGTCTTGAATCAATGAAACTCCTCTTTCTGCCACGTCATTGGTAACTCGAAGATTCTTAAAAACTTCCTCTGCTTTTAAGTAGCTTTTAGACTCGGTCCAGTTTACCACGTCATTTTTCAAAAATTCATCGACACCAAATTCTGTGAAAATTTGTATTGTATTTTTGTTAGCTAAATCATGAAGCTGTAAATTTTCTACATCGTGTTGGTCAATTTTCGGTCTTACATTGGGAACTTCTGGAGAGGGGTTATTATTTATGGCGTAAATTATCTTACATTTGGTTTCAACAGGGACATTTTTGTCGAACAGACAAAGACCAACTAACTCATCTGACAAATACCATAAATGACCCATCATTTTTTTTACAGTGGCTTTTGAAATATGTGGATTATCATATTTTATTAAGGTCTTTATCAGTTGCAAGTCATTATTTGGAGCACATGCCGCCAAAGTTGCAGTGAACTAATTTTTTAAATGGACGGTTACAATGAAAACACATATTTCCTCGAGGCCCCTTTTTTCTTTGGTACTTAGATGAAATTGTTCACTAAACATAAATATTTTTAAACAGTAAATTACTTTTGACATCCAACGTGAATGACTAGTAGCACCTGGAGTCATAAATTTTATTCCTCTGGTGGGTTCTTCACCAAGAAATATAACTGATAATTCCAGCATCTCACGATAATCATCTCTTACTTGTTTTATTTTAAGCATTTCTTGGCAAAAATTAACTAGTTCATGTCGTATATTCTCTGTAATCCTTTGAATAAGAGCCGAGTTTGCTATAACGTATGCAGAATGATCAATTTTAGACCAAGAAGATCGAAATCGTACAAACATTCGGTTATTAGGGCCTGTTGTCGCTGAAGGTAACACT